TGGGCCCCGTCCCGGCGGGAGCTGCGTTTGGGGGGGGAGCGGGGCCCAGCAGGGACTCACGTGAAGGCGAAGGCCACCAGCGCGCCGCTGACCACGATGAAATCCAGGATGTTCCACAGGTCCCGGAAATAGGCGCCTTGGTGCAGAACCAGCCCCAGGTCGACCATCTGCGGCAGGGGGCCAAGCGCGAGCCGAGAGTCAGCCAGGACGCTTGCTCCTAGGGCTGCTGCTGGGGTCACACGTGCTGCCCCACGGCGCCTTTGTGGGGATCTCACACACACCCCATGGCGCCTTCGCGGGGTTGGCATGTGCTGCCCCACGGCGCCTTCACAGGGGTCACATGCGCTGCCCCACGGCGCCTTCACAGGGGTCACATGCGCTGCCCCACGGCGCCTTCACAGGGGTCACATGCGCTGCCCCACGGCGCCCTCACGGGGGTCACACGCACTCGCCCACGGCGCCTTCGCTGGGGTCACACACGCTGCCCCACGGCGCCTTCGCGGGGTCACACGCGGTGTCCCAAGGCGCCTTCGTGGGGTCACACGCGCTGCCCCATGGCACCTTCGCAGGGGTTACACACGCTGCCCCACGGCGCCCTCACGGGGGTCACACATACTCTCCCAAGGCGCCTTCGCAGGGTCACATGCACTGCCCCCCGGCACCTTTGCGGGGGTCACAGGCTCTCCCCAATCATGCTCCCCATTCCAACTGCACCTCCCTCTGCTCAGCCTCAGGCCCCAAGCCCGGTGCAGAAGGGCGCCACCCCTGTACACGCCTCCCCCATGAGACGGAAACGCCACCAGAGCCAGCAGGAGGGACCCTCCCCCTCCCAGCTTCTCCCTCCGTGCCCTGGCGCTGGGGGATGGCCGGGCTCCACGTGGGGCCTGGCACTGTGGGGTCTCTACCCCTGCCCCGGCTGGCCTGGGGAAATCCTCCCCCGTCCCCAGCACGGCCCGGCCCACTCACCTTAATGACCATCTCGAAGGTGAAGACGCCCGTGAAGACGTAGTCGAAGTAGCGCAGAACCTGGGGGGGGGAGAGGTGGGTCTGGGGGCGGAGCAGGGCACAACCATACCCCCGCCCCCGGCCAGCCCCGCCAGGCAG